GTGTACATTTAATTAAGTTATTGTTAATTGTTTATTGGTTTAATGTAAGTGGCTATTGTTCGGGACGAAGAATACTAAGGAAGGGGCAGTGTTACGACAGCGGAGGTCACATGACGCTAGTAACACGTCATATTCTCGAAGCTTCGTGAAGCCTCGGGAGGTTACTAGATGTACAGTATTCTTTTATATAAGACGGCCAAGAAGTGACGGCAACAAGGGGTAATTGACAGTTGAGTCGAGCACGTGAGACGTTCTTTGTGAATTATAGCGTTTGTTATAGCGCGACTGTGGAAATTAAGTGTATTGCAAAGGTGTATTCAGAAAGAATAAACCAGTTTTATTTAAGAAAGGACTCGTGTCGCTAAAGTTTCATCAGAAAGAAATTATACGGGAAGTTAATTAACGACCAGAGACGTAACAGTATGCAATCTTTTAATTCTTTGTCCAACCAAGTGGTGTGCGCGCACATCAGCAGCCTCCCGAGTCTGTTATACCTATGGAGAACTATTGGCACTTGAATATGACAAAACCATGATATTCTTGTATATTACATGTGATTTTGAATTAGTATCTTTACTATTACTATTGACTGAAAGTATTCTTCTTGTACGTTTCTTTTGTGGTGAGGAAAATTGTTTTTGCTAATCAAATCTCAATAATCTTCAGTTTAGCAAAAATAACTTAAAAGCTTTAGATAATTAAGACGAAATATTGCCAGAACTAAAAAAAAGTAATATTCTAGAATTCTTTTATGAGAGCTCTCTGAGAGTAAGAAAAATTATAATGTTGTTCCTCATTTAATCAATAGAGGGCCTAAAGTTGTTTTTTTTAAGTGCAAAACTGTACACTCTGTCAGCTGTGAGGAATCGAACCGCAGATTTTAGCGTTGTAAGTACATAAGCTTATCACTGACCCACCGGTGGACAATGAAAAAAATGTCTTTACAATGTCAGGTCGCTCGAAGCTTGTTAATTTTTAGATTTATCGTTGGAAGCATGATTTATTTCTTTTTTGTTTGTTGTTAAGCGCAAAGCTATATAATGGGCTATTTATGCTGTGGCCACCATGGGTATCGAAATCCAGTTTTTAGCATTATAAGCTTTCAAACTTGCCACTGAACCACTGAAGACATGAAAGAAGTTACCAAACAGAAATAATCATTATGGCTATAAATATTTATTTCGTCATTGAAAACTTTGATTTTTGTTAGATATCAATAAAATTATATCTGAAAAATTAAATTATAGATAATTTGTACAAAAATAAAATTGCATAATATAAGAATAGAAAGACTAAATGATTGCATTCGCTATTTGTCAGCAATATACTATTTAATAACTGAATATTGAAAACGGACTTTGGTTCGGCCTAATGGTTGTCGTGCTTAAATCTTGATCAAAAGGTTTAAGGTTCGAGTTGCAATATGCCACTCAATACGTTCTCCGTTTTTTGGGTTACATGTACATGAGTGTCAATCCTGTTATTACATTGAGATTAACTACGTAGGTGGCCGCGCTTGCCACTGGTTGTCCACCTCTGGTCAGCAGTTCAAAATTAAAGATGGCTCTGCCTGAAATTACGTATATGATCTGTTCATTTACTTATGTGTCACATAAGTTGCATTCAGGTTGAAAATATCAAACGCCAAATAATAAGAAAATGTTTCTTTCTGTGTGCTATTATTTCTGTCTTTTTTAATGTTGTTTATATTATTTTATTATATTAAATTGTTATTATTAAAAATAAAAGGAAAGAAATTAGTTTACTTCCGTCCTCTTGTGGTTATTTAGATAAGTTTGCTAGTGGGTCATTAAGACGTAAACTCACCAACGCTACATGTTGGAAGATTAGTTAGATGTTGAGATACGTGTTCTAGGTTGTTTAAGATTTAGATTCGAAAAAGGAAATTGGTTATAACATTGTTATAGTGTTTTTCGTTTGAAAATTATGGTATGGACATTAAGTTATGCCATTTAATGATTTATGGTTCGAAGTAAATCTAACGTAACTTGTAAGCCTGCAGTGAAGCGCAGAAAGGCTTAAAAAGCAGTCGCGGTTTTCTTACTGTCACGTTATCTGATTCTAATAACTAGTGTTAGTACTACTACTACTAGGCCTACTTTTATTAATACTAGTTAGTAGTACTAGCACAAAACTACTACTATCGCAGTATCGGTAATTATTCAACATAGGCTTAGTTGTTTGGCCTAATTGTTTTAAGCGTTAAGTTAACTTTTAACTACTTGATTTTAAGGCCAAATCGTAAACGTCAGATTCGCTCTGTCAATTTTTGGAGTTTTATTCATGAAATTTGAAGGATTAAAACAGGTAACATGCTGCTTTTGCATTGGATTTTGAGTCTTGACTTTGCTTTACCTAATACTTTTATTTTGAAATAAATAGGATTTAAACTTAAATTTAACTTCTTAGATTTTGTGAATTTGTAATTGGATGTTTATTCATATTTAACTTCATCTTCAAGTTATTGTTTCTTCAGTGAAGTTTAAGGTTAATCTTAAAACTAAAAGTAATTGTGATGATAAAGTAGCTTAAGATTTTGTTCAGCCTACACTTGTACTTACAACTGCAGTTTAGGAGTTAGTTCTTTGAAAATGTTTGTGTATAAAAATTATCATGGTACTGGTAGTACTACTACTCATTCTACTGGTAGCTGATGTGAAAATTACACTATATTTCCCAGTCATACATCTAGATAATACAGTTGACATTATTCTTCAGTGTTAGTTTAAATGCAACAATTAAAAAGAACTTTTATCATTTTTAGGCTCATTTGCCCGGGGTGAATTTTACTATTTTTCGAGATGCCAAGTGTAACATTTACATAACTATTTAGTTTCATGGCGATTATAGTGGTAGAACTACAAGTTTCTTGATCATATGCAAAATTTTATTGATTTTTTTGTAATCATTGATTGAAAATAACTAAGCATATAAGAGAAGGCACAGAACAACAAATATTGTTCTAGAACTTAGGCATGTAATTGGCTTAAGCTGATGAAATTATTATTAGACATTTCTTTAATTGTTCAGTGACATATAGCACACTGTTTCCATGTGACGAATGTTAAGTATATAATAATATTCAAATGTTTCAGTAATCACTACATGAGGTTTCGAAACAGCGTGTAAGACTTAAGAATTAATGCAGCACTTGAGATTGTAAGTTATTGTGTTATCTCACTATCAAATACTAAGTGTGTAACTTATATTACTGTGATTTTTTTGTATCACAGTTAACTGTATATAAAATCTTATTGTTTGATTTCACAAACATAATTTATTTTATGCAGGATAACCTGACCAAAAATTTATACTACTTTTAACCAGGTTAACACGACACATGTGAGTAATGCTATAACCGTATCTGGAAGTAGTCTAATATTGTTTAAGTTTAATGGTTTGTTATAAAACATTAGAAAAAATTTGTTACAAGAGTTCTAGATCAAGTAAATTTACTTTTTCATAGGACTAATACTGTTTACTGGCCAAGACTTGAATCAACATTTTTCTGTTCTTTCCAATAAAACTAACTAAATTTTTAGATACCTTTGGGATTTTTCTTGATTAAAGATAAGTACAGAGCAACTCTGTCTTATGATAGGGTGATTGTAAAATAATATTACACTCTAAAGAGTCTATTAGTAAGTCATGTAATTCACTTGAGAAGAGTGAGTAGGACTGTATGCCTTCTTTATAATGGTTTTAATAGTTAGCTCTTATACAGTTCCATAATTAGTTTTATAGGATCTTGCTTAGCAATGTGATAATTTATTTAACTAAAACTATTATTTGACAAAAGTCTCTTTATACATTTGCTTATAATTGGCAAACAACTAAACTAAATCAGTTGGCAAAAAAATCTGGCATATCCTTAGGGGTTCCCTAATGAGTGACATAGGGAGGTTGGCATTCAAACATAATACCACTCTGTCCTCCCTGTGCTTTGAATGGTTACAACAACAAGTATGGCTCTATTTATTTAAAAGGTATAAACAGGAATTTTTTTTTTCTAACCTTGTTAGGTTTTTAATTTCTTGAAATGTGTAAATACTCGTATTTGACCTATAATTTTCAGAACTGGAGCCACTATCCGGATTATATTTGTAAATATTGATAAACAAATCAATTTTTTCTCATGCTTTTTCTGTAAAATACTTATGTTTCGTTACTAGTGACAGTTTGTGTGATGTTTGCTATTTAATAATTTTAATAAAGATGTTGCCCTTTTTACTGTGTTTTGATTGCTCTCGGTTAAAGATTCCTTTAAAAAGATTTAAAAGTAAGGAGCACATGTTTAAAATTATGTAAAAAGAAAAAAAAAGAAGTAAAGAGACTTAAGCTTTATATGTGGGTATTCTTGTATGTGTAATATATTTTTATTCATTTATATATTGAAGAAAGAGTGAAATATAAGAGATTTATTTGGTACATGTGTATTTCTAACGAGTGTTAATATCCTTAGTACTGGTATATAATAAATCCACATTCTTTTCACAGATTGTGTATTTCTAACAAGAGCTTGAGCTACAATAAACATGAATCATACAACCAATCAACAGTCCTCGTCGGGGAATGACAACAAAAGAGAAAATCAGCCAAAAATGTCAGGAAAACTTATTCAGTATCCATCAAGGTTTTCCGCATATCTTCTCTCTCTTCGTCCTTGGTCTTTTAGTACATCTTTAGCTCCTGTGGGACTTGGTGCTGCTCTTGCCTACAAAAGTACTGGACACTTTGACTTGAGCATATTTCTTGTGACCTGCTTATCAGCTCTCTCGGTGCACGCGGCTGGAAACGTAGTAAATACTTACTTTGATTTTCTGAAAGGTATTGACAGCAAGCGTAGTGATGACAGGATTCTCGTTGACAAGATTTTAACTCCTGATGACCTTGCCCACTTAGGAGTTCTCCTCTACGTATTAGGATGTATGGGATTTATTGGATTAGTACTTCTCTCTCCAGCATCGATGGAGCATCTTGCATTAGTGTATTTTGGGGGACTGTCCAGCTCTTTTCTCTATACAGGTGGTATTGGGCTGAAATACATTGCCCTTGGTGACGTTTTAGTGTTGGTTATATTTGGCCCTGTTACAGTACTTTTCTCGTATATGACTCAGACTGGAACCTGGGACTTGAACACGTTGTTTTATGCCATGCCATTAGCCCTAAACACGGAAGCCATTCTTCACAGTAACAATACCCGTGATGTGGAAAGCGACAGCAGAGCAGGCGCTGTTACAGTAGCCATTCTCATAGGCTACACCTGTTCTCATATTTTGTTTGCATTTTTGTTGTTTGTGCCTTACATAGCGTTTACTGTCCTAGGTCTTCATTTCACCAAATGGTTCTTACTTCCCCTGATCACTCTTCCCGCTGCTTTTGACTTAGAAAAACAGTTCCGTAACGGACGGCTGCAGACTTTACCAAAACAGATGAAAAAGCTCAATGTCTACTTTGGTCTGTTCTACCTGATAAGCTGTATTATGGCAGAACCATATAATTTACCATGGTTAAACATCAAATAAAACACATAGGAGATTATAAGTACACATTGCTTGCAGCAGCTTACATTAATCAGCGTACGTCACTTAACTGCATTGTACTTGTAGCTGTTTTTGAGAGTTGTCCTTTAAAAGCTTAATAGTTTTGATCTGACATGTCGGTATTCGATACTTAGCTAAGCTGTAAAATGTATTCTATTGTAGTTTTTTTGTCGTTTTATGTGAACTGGAAGAATACAATAAAAATCTGATTCTTTTTAAAAGACTGTTTAAAGGACGTTTGAACCACTTTGGTCACTAAATTTTCTGATGATGTGACGTCAAAGACTTTTTAATTTGTGTGTGTTTTCCTGTGAGTGAAGTGTGAAGGAAAGACTAGATTAGTTTGTTGCGTCTTTTCGGACAGAAAGGGAAAAAACTTTTACGTTGTCTTTTATTATTCATTTTGTCGTCAATTTATTATGTCACTGTTTATCCCTTAAATTACTGATGGGAACAAATTAACCCCCATTGGCTTTTTAAATACATTTTTCTAAACTATTTATGTGCTTAATTACTTTTCGGTCCCTAGAGCTTTGATTACAAGGTCACTAGTAATATACTGATTTTACAATGAAAATAAGAATTAATTCCAGTAATTACTTCTGGGGGTTCCCTAGTATTTTACGTAAGTGATTTCATCAGTTTATTTTTAGTTCTGTACATTGGGTGTTGTAAGAAACGAGAAATACATAATGTGCTGTATGGATGCTATTGATGGTGAACAGTATGAAAAACGAGTTGGAAAATTGGGAGTTTAGCAACTAAAAAAAAATGATTTCTAATACATTACATTCACTCCACTTAACTTTCTTTAATTACTATTCTTAAATATACAATTTATATAGAAAATCAACCGAACACATGATATTTTTTTCTAGCAGCATTGGACAGATGCGTATTACTCTGGAGATTATATCTTCTTTCTCAAGTGTTAACATTTTTTTTGTCGCTTTCTTACTGTAATATATGATTCAAAAACAGTGACCCCCCCCCAACCTGGTGCGTGAAGAAGAATATTAGTTGGGGAATTTTGTAAGCCTTTATCTATACGTACTTAATGCAAATGAACCTATAAAGTTTAGTTTCTGTTAATTAATGGAATGGCAGAAAATTCTCCCTTGTATACCATTACTGTGCTTGATTTTTCACCCGTGTACATCAGTTGTTTTCAGCATTTTTGTCTTCTTGATTGTTTTTTAAATACAACGGGTTTGAACTTTTATGTATTATGTTATTGATGTTATGTGTTGTTTTACTGATGGAAAGTAATATAAACCCTCATAATAATAATAATAATAATAATTTATGTAAATAAATTAATCACATAAATATAAATATTATTTGGACAATGAACTTGTGTTTTGAAAACTTTGTTTTACTAAACGTAATTGAAGGTGTGGATATACTGTTTGTTACTGAGTGTTATTTATATATGCATTATTACTGAAAGAGCGTAAAACATTGTTTATGTAAGGCAACAGTGTTGTTGTTTCATGTACTCATTAAGGATCAGCATAACCTTGTACAGTTTGCACCAGATTTTTTTTGGTAAAAAGTTTTGCAAGCATTTTTGATGATAGTTACGTAAGCCACTTGTCATTATTTGTTCAAAAATTGAGTCTGAATTTTGACATTGATTGGAGATACTAAAAGATGCTTGCTTATTTGTAGCAGGTGAATTTTTTTTTGTCTGTACCTGTAGAAATATTACAGCGTGTACACAGCTACTTATATCACAACTGATAATTGTTCGTAACAATGTGAATTAACATTTCTCTGTTTAACACCTAGCAGTTCTTATGCTTTTTTCCCTAAAAATGGACAATTTCCATAAAAACTTTTTTTTTTCAATGTAACTCTGTTTGACACTTAGGATGCTCGACTCTCAATCTGTGGGTTTGAATCCCAGTCACCGAACACCCCCTTTCAGCTGTTGAGAGCATTATAATGTGAGAGTTAATCCTGCTATTTATTGGTAAAAGAGTAGCCCAAGTGTTAGCAGTGGGTGGTGTTGACTAGCTGCCTTTCCTCTAGTCTATCACTGCTAAACTAGGAACAGCTAGTGCAAATGGCTCTTTGATAAAAAGTTCTGCAAGCATTTTTTGATGATAGTTGTTAGTTACGGAAGCCACTTGTCATTAATTGTTCAAAATTTGAATTTTGACATTGACTGAAGATACTAAAAGATGCTTATATTTATAGCAGGTGAATTTTTTTTTCTTTACCTGTAGAAAAAATGGCTCTCGTGTGAAATTCAAAACAAACAAATTGGTCATTCTCAAACTCTGTGTTCTCAGACTATCTGAATTTATTATTTTATCGTGAGACCTTACCACAGACCACCAGAAGAAAGCCTGTGACCACAGATTGAGAGCCACCAATCTTAACCCAGTTACTTGTGTAATTGTTTTACAGTTTACCCATTCATTAATTAATTTATAATTTTCTATTAATGTTTCTTGTTAATTTATTTTTATAATATAACTTCTTACCAATATTTTCCCTTTGAGTGAATGTAAGTACATGTTAATACACAAGTAAAAGCCTTTGTAAACCCTCGAGGAGGAGAAGAAGCTAGTTTTGGTTTCAGGTTTAACCTTTCTTTTGCTGGTGGTTATTGTAGAACAAAAAATCGTTTAAAGAATTACATAGTTGTGAAAAGGTTAAAAATGTTAGCTCATAAAGTAATAGTTTAATTGCTCTAAAGAGTGTAACAGATGTGCCAAGATACCATTTTTTAACCAAATTGCTGATAAAACCTACAAGTTATTGAATTCACTGCCTAATAAATGCAAGAGAAGATGGAGGATACATACATTTACATGATTGTAGAATTGTGAAATACACTGTATCTAATAAACTTATTTGTGAGATCTGTCTCTCATGATACAAACTGGCCTTTAACAGTGTACGCTTATTTAGAATATAATGAATTTGATTAGATTTTGAAATCGAAGTGAACTTAGAGAATCTAAAACCAGTCTTTGGTAAAAGATGTTCTGGGTGGCAATGGCTACAGCATACTGAAATTTAATATGTTAATCGTGTTAACATTTAGATGTAAGTGACAGTTACTTAAATTATGATTTTTTCACTGTCGTAGAAAATAAAAGTTTATTTTTACTGCCTTCCGCCCACCCACTCCTTCTTGGGTGGTTATCTTGAGGGCTTATAAAGCTAAAATTTAGGGATCAATCATCATGTTGGTACAGCACATATAGCCCATTGTGCAGCTTTGTGCTTAAGAACAAACGGATGTGACACCACCCTGAAAACTATTAGTACAAACTGTTACCCAGTTTATAAAGCTCAGTTTAATACATATAATTGATCACTTGGCATCATTTTAATATCATTTATTTAAGTAAAATAGTTAATTTATACAGTCTTTAAGAGGAGTGTTTTATAATGAGTTTTAACGTCTCGTAGTTTGTAGAAGAGAGCTATAACTCTTGAAAGGAAGTAAGTTACGGTGTACGTGATAAGTGTTTGATATATTTGTTATCTACATCATATAATGAAATGATATAAATCACAGTTGGCTCCCGTTAGAAAAATGGAGCGCTTGCTGCTTGTGCATTACCCTAAACACACACACACACGATCAACTTTTATTCTGGCTGTTTACAGAAATTTATATGTATTTACAAACAGTGTATTTCTTTACTTTAATGTATTTATGATTATTATTAATAATATTATTAATTTGTTGTTTACGTTCATATGTTTATTATGTAATTGTGTTTTGTTTTTTTTTCTTTTTGTTGTTGAATTTTTCAATTTAATTAAACCCGTCAATTGTTTTTAACCAATTGTTTTAATTGTTTGTTCGTGAGAATTTAATTTATAACACACTTTCTTCAGGCAAGGAGCTGGAATGAGCTTAAACGTGGATATTATTCAAAGTATATATTTCTATGAATCCAAGCAGATAAATAAATATTCTTGTATATGTATGAGCTTGTATTGTGTACAAAACATTTAGAATACACTCAAATACTACACGTTAATTTAATAGAACAGCTTGGGCTGTACTTTTTCAAACCAGATTAACGAACATAGGTGTGTTAGAAGGTACTTGTTTCCAATGTAAACTCTTTTTTTTTAACTTGTATGTGCCCATTTTAATCGTATGTATATATATTCAACCTGATTCTATGAATTATTCAAGTATATATAACATATTGTAGAAGGCTGGCTTCATTTTGATTGTCACAATATTTTTTTTTGTGTGTGAAAACTACATTGTATTTTGTGTGTGTACAACCTGTGAGGAGTTCACTTACTCTCCTCTTGCCAAATATAGTGTGTGCAACAATTCTCTGTCTTTTAACACCTTCTGTGATGGTGCTGTGTGGATGCATTAATTGCTGGTAAAGCTGAGTTTACTTGTTAGCATCCCGAATTAGTCTGGTTGAGAGTCTGCAAGTAAAGGATGTTTTTGAACTCCAATTATATTGCTTTGTTTTAAAACAGTGTTAATACTTTCATTTTCGGTTGTTTCTTTTGGATATTAAAAGATCGATTTGGTAGAAGAAGAAAAATGTTAAAACTTGTGTGAAATCTTATTTGTTCTTTAATGGTAACCTTTTTTTTTTTTTTTATCTGCGAGGTATTGACCCTCTTTTCAAAGTGCGTGGGTTATACTGTTTTGTTTTTACACGATTTTTTGAACCTACGTGTTTTTTTCCTAACATGAATATAGACATTACCAAATGTACTTGTTTGGAATTAAGCACAAAGCTACGCAATGGGCTATCTGTGCTCTACCCACTACGGGTATCGAAACCCGGATTCTAGCGTTGTAAGTCCGCAGGCATACCGCTGTGCCAGTGGGGATCGCCAAATGTACTAGCTACAGACAGAACATAGGATTAAGTTGATCACCACAACATCCTGGTACTTGGTATGGGAACTACACTTGTAGCGCTTTAAAATACTACGGGAACTAAACTAGTTTTAATTCATCATATAATTAGTTTAGGAACTACACAGGAGTTAATGTATAATTAGTTTAGGAGCTACACAGGAGTTAATGTATAATTAGTTTAGGAACTACACAGGAGTTAATGTCATAATTAGTTTAGGAACTACACAGGAGTTAATGTCGTATAATTAGTTTAGGAACTACACAGGAGTTAATGTCGTATAATTAGTTTAGGAACCACACAAGAGTTAATGTCGTATAATTAGTTTAGGAACTACACAGGAGTTAATGTCGTATAATTAGTTTAGGAACTACACAGGAGTTAATGTATAATTAGTTTAGGAACTACACAGGAGTTAATGTCATAATTAGTTTAGGAACTACACAAGAGTTAATG